GCCACTGAGCCTAGCCTAATTCTTTTTTCAATTGTGATCAAATTATATTCAGTAGAAAATCTTTGAGTGTTTGGCACTTGGATGGCATCCTTTCCTAGTTTCCAGTATTGATGTGACTCCAGGCACTGTGTTTCTTGTTCCTTTTTCCTCCAGTACTTTTTTCCCCTCTCATTCTCTAGGTTAAGTTAATGCCTGAAGGGTAGAAAAAAGGAGAAAGCAAAGAGTTGTGCTCAATTCACTGATTTATTTAGAGGCCTGGATTTCTAAATTTTTAAGTAAGTGTATAACATTCTGTTCGACTAATATAAACATGATCATTATCCTGGTTAATGAGCCTTTGGGATTTTTCCAGGTATCACCCTGTGTTCTTTGTGTTGTGAACATCTTTGAACAGAACATTTTTGAGATTGTCCCATTGAGTTTATTCTCCAAAGTGGGCTTATATTTAATTTTTAAAACAAATTAGTAATCAAGAATATTCAGTTTAGTTTGTGTAGGTCATATTCATTCTTCAAGTATCTGCTGGGTACCCCCATGCGGAAAGTGGATCCAGACAAGGAAGGTATAGTCTGTGTATTTAGAGAGCTGTCATTCTCCCCTTAACTATAAAGACACTGGGAGAGGCTCTGCTAGGCGCTTCTGAAACTAGATAATCAGGTTGCCCATATTCCTCTAATAGTATCAAAAAGAGAAATTATTTTGTTTCAGCATGACTTGGTTTTATTAAACTATATTGGCTCCTAATGTATACCACTCTCTTTTCATAAACCACATGTTTAATGTAATACAGAATTTGGCTAGTGATTTATGTTAATTAATTAATTTGTTTATTTTTTTTTGAGTTGAAGTCTCACTCCGTTGCCCAGGCGGGAGTGCCCTGGCACACTCATGGCCACCCCAGCATTGACATGCTGGGCTCTGGCGATCCTTCCACCTCAGCCTTCCAAGTAGCCGGAACCATAGGTACGCACTACCAGGCCCGCTAATTTTTTGATTTATTGTAGAGATGAGGTCTCACCAAGTCGCCCAGGCTGATCTTGAACCCATGGGCTCAGGCAGTCCACTTACCTCAGCCTCCCAAAGTGCTGGGATTCGATTTATGTTAACTTAATACTCTATCTTGTGGCTGGCTGACTATAATGGTATATCTTACAATTGAAATTTTTTGAACCAGAGGGTTTCTAAAGCAACTCAGCTCTGTATGTCTCTTTCTAGGTTAAAAAAAAGAAACTTACATGGTGAGAGTTGATATTTTCCAGCAATGGAGAGTTTTCATTTACTTATCAACTATGTAACTGTAACTCTTCACAAGGGCTATTCTAGATATCTACTGCTATGATGAAATAATTAAGAAGATGCATTTAAGGCACCAACTATGACTTTTTTTTTTTTTTTTTTGTCAGAGTCTCCACTCTGTTGCCCAGGCTAGAGTGCAGTGGCATGCTCACAGCCACTGCAGCCTCAATCTGCTGGGCTCAGGCGATCCTTCCATCTCAGCCTTCCAAGTAGCTGGAACTACAGATGCATGCCACCACTCCTGGCTAGTTTTTGCAATTTACTGTAGAGACAAGTTCTCACCAAGTTGCCCAGGCTGGTCTCACACCCTTCCGCTCAGGCAGATCTCTTGCTTTGACCTCCCAAAGTACTGGGATTACAGGCTGAGCCACCACGCCCCACCTCAACTATGACTCTTAGTGTAATTTTTATTTTCAGTAGCATTTCCTACATGTCTACTTTAAACCCAGCGTCATAGTTTATAAGGAGATGCAAGAATACTTACAGACAAGTTGACTTGATTTTTCTTCCTTTGTTTCCTTTCTTTCTCCCTCCCTCTCTCCCTCTTTCTTTCTTTCATTTCTTTCTCTCTCGCTCTTTTCTTTTCTTTGTTTTTTTTTTCTCTCTCTCCTTTCTTTCTCTCTCTTTCTTACTTGTGAATGGTAATATAGCACCTTCCATGTTACAGGCACTATTCCAATTGCCTTCATATGCTAACTCCATCTTATTATATCCATTTTATAAATTAGTACACTAGGGCATAGAGAGATTAACACACTTGCTTAAGTCATGCTAGTGAATAGTGGAACTGTGCTCAAAACTGGGATGTCTGACCTAGGTTAGTCTCAGTTATGTTCTCATTTCACAGACATTTATTGAGTACCCTTTAGGCAATGGATTGACTTGGGTCATTTCTAAGATTAATTAATTCACTCATCAAATACTTACCAAGTACTCACTGTGTGCTGGGGTAGCATGGTCTCTGCTGTTATGGAATTGAGAGACTGGTGAGGAGTCAGAAAATCAATTTGTAATACATTTTCAAATAGTGATAAATCCTGCAAAGAAAATAAAGCCAGAGAAGGGGCTAAAGAGTGATAAAGGGGGGGACAGAAATATTTTTAGATTTTATGGACTGAGAGGGCTTCACTGAGTAGGAGTCATTTGAGTGGAAACCTGTCTGAAGAGGGGAGCCAGCCATGGGATCTGGAGGGAGAGGAGTGCTCCAGGTAGATACAGCAGCAGGTACAAAGGCCTTGAGGTCACAGTGAGCCTGTGCGGTGCAACGAAGAGCCAGACGTAAGAGCAGTATCTGGACCCAGATGAGGTGGGGGAGGGTGTTGACGGTTAGGCTGGAGAGCAAGTTGAGGGCCAGGTTGTGTCGGCCATTGTGGGTTATAGGAGGAGGTTTGGATTTTCTTCTGAATGTCATGGGATGTCTTTGAGCATTTTGGGCAGGGAGTGGCATGTTTTGATTTACATTTTTAAAAGAGCACTCTGGCTGCTGTATGGAGAACTGATTATGGGGTGGCAAAAAATAAAAAAGAGACTTTTGTGTTGAGCCAAGGAATTCCCTTGCTTCTCGAGGGAACTGGTGGTCATGAAGGTGTTGCTACCACATGATACTTGCCCTAGAGGTAAGGTCTCTCAGGTTTCAAACCCTGCTGCTAGAGGATGCTGATGGGTGGAGTAAGCTAGGTCATTCAGTTCACCAGACCTCTGAACAGCCCTCCTAAGATTTTCATGTTTTCCCTCTGTGTTTATTTCTCCTGGGGAACCATATCTTGAAGGGAGTCATTTTGGGATAAACTTGTATTAAGACCCTAAGGAAAAATGTTAGCTTTTCCTGATTGGTTTTAAAAACAGAGCCTTCATGTTTATCCCCACAGGATTTATGGCCAGAGAATGGAGATGAGGGACTGGCAGGACTGGGGAAAGCCACACAAAGGGGATTCAGCTTAGAAAGGAGCCAAAAACCTGGGTTCAGCCTTTGGCACACCAAATACTAGCATTTATACATATGGGCGACTTATTTTTATGTCTGCTTCCTCATTGGTAGAGATAATATCTGTCCTGCTAATCTTGTGAGGCTGTCTTGGGGTACTATGAAGTAACATCGGGAAGCACTGTGTACTGATGTACCATGGCCATCTGAGGTGGCAGCAACACTGCTTGGGAGGTTACAGGCATCGGCAGCTCATCGGCTACGCCCATATCTCAAGTAATAGTCCAAGGAACACCCTGGAATGAGGGGTGTGAGTGTTTCCCCTGGTTGTGTAGTCAGTCCTAGGAGGAAAGATTCTGGCAAGATCTGATGGGCTATATCTTCTTTCCCCCACCCCTAACAACTGATTTGAGATGTAATACTGTCTGGCCAAGACATTTCGGACCTTTACAGGGGGGCTGTTTCTGGAAGGTTATTGGCTGAGGCCCCCAGGGCAATGGTTAGGGGATGCCTGGAGTCACTGCTAGACTTGGGGGGAGATGGACAGGTAATCATACACACTCACACAACACACACTCAGAAAATACACAGATTCACACAACACACAATACACACAGGGATGAACAAGACACAGTCGCAGTCATTGGGGACTCACAGTGTTTGTGGGTAAGTTAGATGTGTAAATAAGTGATTAAAACTGTGAACATTGCTTCAGTGGAGGTGTCTTCAAAGTATTGAGAAAGGACTGACTAATTCTGCCAGAAGAGGAGAGAACATGTGAGCAGATGCCTGTAAGCTATTTGGAGATCTCTGCATAAAAAAGAAAGGGTGGCTTTTCAGGCAACGATGAGGGGTCAGAAGTGCACGGTGGGTTCTGGGAACTGGTGCTGAGGATGTATAAGGAGATGGCGATAAGTGAGGCTACTGAGATCAGTCCAGGCTGGATTGTGGCGAACCACCGTCTGAGCTGATGATGGTGTGTCTGACCTAAGATTTTGAATTTGTTCTTTAGTGTAATATTTAGCTCCTGAGGGAGCTGTTCTGAGGCCCAGCATGCTAGAGTTGATAAAATGTTAAGGGTTGGGTCCTTGCAATGCCTAGCATGGTGTCTTGCCTGAAGTCAGTGTTTAAATATTTACTCCAGTGACAAAGCCATAATGTTTCTCCTAGAGTTCCAAAGAAGGTGATGACCCCCCAGATCCCAGACCCTGGATGTGGACACTGCATGCCCTGTGGTATCAGTACGCTGAGAAAGCAGTCCAGTCGTTGCTACTGCTGTGGCTGGGCTCTTTAGTCATGTTCACCTGAGGGCAGTGCTGAGGGTGTGATGAGCTCCTGGATCCACCCTGTAGTCAGAAGTCGTGAGGTGGGGGTCCATTCCCATGAGTGCTTTCTGTAATTACAAAAAAAATTGTATTTGATATTGCGAAAGTATGTTATTAAGTAATCTGTGGTCAGTGGAGATAGGAGACAAAGGAAGGTGCTTTTGCTGTGACCTTTCCATCACCCACTGAGTTGGATGACATTGCTTTTGACCCCAAGCCATGTTGCCCTCTTCCCAGAGGTCCCACAATCAGCTGGAGCTCATATATATGACTGCTAGGTTGACCTCGATTTCCTGTATGTTCTCTTCTCTGGGGACTAGGTCATATCCCACCTGCAGAGTTCTGAGAGAATAGGGCGAAAGCACCTCCCCTTCCCCAAACCTGTGATCTGATGATCCACAGGTTACCAAGGCCTTTTCAATGGTGTCATGTCACTTTCTTGCCATATTCCTTAGTCTTTGTCCCCCAACAGCTCCAAGGTGACATTCAAAGGCTTTCACATCTACTGCTAGACAGGGCTCTGTTCTGTTATCAGATGTTAAAACCAAAAAAGGTAACTGGGCCTTTCTGTTTCACAGCCTTTTTTTAGATACTGTAGGGACATAATTTTTTCAGTGGCCTTCTACTAAGGCCTAAAGAGAAAAAGGCCTGTAATTTTTCTTTCTTTTTTTTTGAGTTGGAGTCTCACTCTGTCGCCCAGACTGGAGTGCAGTGGCCGCTCCCGGCCACCGCAGCCTCAACCTGCTGGGCTCCGGTGATCCTTCCACCTCAGCCTTCCGAGTAGCCGAAATTACAGGCGTGCGCTACCACGCCCGGCTGATTTTTTGATTTATTGTAGAGATGAGGTCTCACCTGCCCAGGTGGGTCTCGAACCCATGGGCTCAGGCAGTACACTCACCTCAGTCTCCCAAAGGTGCGGGATCACAGACTGAGCCACCGAGCCCGGTTTGTAATTTTTCAATCTTTCCTTCCCTTTCCTGGCATTTGCCTCCCTGATCACCCCCCTCCCACCCCCTACTGTCTTTTACAAACTTTGTTGTGGAAAATTTTAAACATATACAAAAGAGGAGAGAATTGTATAATGTTCGTGCAAGTGCCAGCTTCAACCACCGTGATCAATTGTGGAACATCTTGTGCCATTTATATCCCTACTTACCTGTTGCTAGTTATTTATTTTATTTTATTTTTTTGAGTCAGGGGTCTCACTCTGTCACCCAGACTAGATTGCAGTGGCACGGTCATGGCTCACCACAACCTCAACCTCCTAGGCTCAGGCAACACTCCCATCTCAGCCTCCCAAGTAGCTGGAACTATAGGCCCACACCACTACAGCTGCTTAATATTTTGCTTTTTGGACTTAGAGTCTATAATACTGAGTGATCTATCACAGAAACAAAGACCTGAGTATCACATGTTCTCACTCATAAGTGGACCTTGAACAATTATCAAAATACTATAAGAAAAGGATTGTCTGTAGTGGGAAATTGCCGTGGTGGAGGGGAGTGGAATTGGCAGTAGTGAGTGTCTGCTGGGGGGGGGGGGGCACACCTCATTAACAAGGGTACCTGCATAATGAATATTTGTATACATAAACCTGAATTGTACCCCACATCTTTAAAATAAAAAATTAGAAAAAAAAACTTATGTCCAATCAAAAATCTACACACAGATGTTTATAGCAGATTTATTTATAATTGTGAAAACTTGAAAGAAACCAAGATATTCTTCAGAGGTGAATGGATGAACTTTGGTACAACCAGATCATGGAATATTATTCAATGCTAAAAAGAAATGAGTTATAAAACCATGAAAAGACATGGAGGGCTGAGCGCAGCAGATCACACCTATAACCTCAGCACTTTGAGAGGCTGAGGCGGGATAATTTCTTGAGCCCAGGAGTTCAAGACTAGCCTAGGCAACATAGCAAGACTTTGTCTCTACAAAAAATTGCCTCTACAGGTACACATGATGGCATGTATCTGTAGTTCCAGTTACTCGGGAGACTGAAGCAGGAAGATTGCCTGAGCCCAGAAGGTCAAGACTGTGGTGAGCCATGATTGTGCCACTGCACTCCAGCGCGGGCAACAGAGAGAGACCCCAACTAATAAAAAAGAAAAAAGAAAAAGAAAGAAAGAAAAGACATGGAGGACTCTTAAATGCATATTACCAAGTGAAAAGGCAACATATTGTATAATTCCAACTATATGACATTCTGGAAAAGGTGAAACTATAGAGGCAGTACCATGATCAGTGGTTACCAGGGATTAATGGAGGAGAAAGGAATGAATAAGCAGAGCACAGAGAATTTTGGGGGCAGTGAAACTACTCTGTAAGATACTATAATGGTGGATACATGCCATTCACTATACATGTGTCAAAACCTGTAGAATATACAACACCAAGGGTGAACCCTAATGTAACTATAGACTTTGTGTGATGATAGTGTATTGTAGGTTAATCGATTTTTGTCATTACCATTCTGGTGCAGGACTTTGAAAGGGGTGGTGGTTGTGCGTATGTGGGAGCAGTGGGTATATGGGAAATCTCTGTATCTTCTGCTTAGTTTTGCTGCAAAACTAAAACTGTGCTTAAAAATAAAGTTTATTTAAAAATCAGAAAAAAAATTTGCTTTTTGTAGAGATGAGATCTCATTATGTTATGCAGGCTGGTCTCAAATTCCTGGGTTCAAGCAGTCCTCCTACCCTAGCAAATACCAGACATCTTGTCATTTCATTCATACATATTTGTGTGTGTGTGTGTGTGTGTGTGTGTGTGTGTGTGTGTGTGTGTGTGTGTGTACAGATTTTTTTTTTTTTTTTGAATCAGAGTCTTACTCTGTCACCCAGTCTGGAGTGCAGTGGCATGCTCATAGCCACTACAGCCTTGACCTGCTGGGCTCAGGCGATGCTTCCACCTCAGCCTTCTAAGTAGCTAGAACTACAGGCATGCACCACCACACTTGGCTGATTTTTGTTGATCTGTTGTAGAGATGAGGTCTCACCAAGTTGCCCAGGCTAGTCTCGAACCCCTGGACTCAGGCAGTCCTCTTTCCTCAGCCTCTCAAAGTGCTGGGATTACAGGTGTGACCCAACACACCTAACCAAGTATATATATATTTTTGGGGTTTTTTTTGAGTTGGAGTCTCACTCCTTCCCCCAGGCTGGAGTGCAGTAGCACACAGGCTCACGGCCACCCCAGCAATGACCTGCTAGGCTCCCACCATCCTTCTACCTCAGCCTTCCAAGTAGCTGGAACTACAGATGTGTGCGACCACGCCCGGCTATTTTTTATTTTATTGTAGAGATGAGGTCTCACCAAGTTGCCTGGGCTGGTCTCAAACCCGTGGGCTCAGGTAATCCACTCGACTCGGCCTCTTAAAGTACTGAGATTACAGACTGAGCCACTGAGCCCGGTCTAAGTATATCTTTTTAAAGGATGAAGTCTTTATAAGATCATTATGCTTTTATTATCACACTTAATGATTCCTTAATATTATCAGTGTTCAACTATCAGTATTCAGATTTTCCTGAATATCTCAAGATCTTTTTCTTTTTGCATTTTGTCTTAGTGCCGTTGGTTGATCTCTTAAATGTCTTTACATCTATAGGTGTTCCTTTCTTGTTTTCCTGGCAATTTATGTGGTAAAGAAGCCAGGTCTTTGGTACTCTTAAGTTTCACATACTGTGGAGTTTACTGATTGCATCTTTATAGTATTGTTTAACATGTTTCTCTCTTGTCTTTTTTTCCAATAAATTGGTGTTGTGCCTAGAGGCTTGTTGAGGATTCAGATTCGAGTTTTTTTGGCAAGCATATTTCATAGGTGAAAGTGTGAACTCCTTTTGGGAAGCACATAATGTTTAGTTGTCTTTTTGTGATGGCTGGTTGCATTTTAAAATGTATCAATACTTAAGTAGAATCTGGCTCCTTTAAGTTTACCTGGACCCTATGGTGTGCTCATAGGGTTCTTTCTTGATGAGGTTTGAGGATGGTGGGCTATTGTGTTCTCTGTCCTGGGACTATTTGCTGGAGTTGGTTCCTCTAGCAATTCCTGAAAGATGAATTGTGTGAATTTGATCTAGAGCGTTGCCATTGTTTGTTTCTCTTGGTCATAAAAGACCTGTTTACTCAAGAAACACCGAATAAGGAGAGGCTCAGAATTTTTGAAAGTTATTTTGTATTGTAGAGATGTTTCTTGGTTTGGCTAAACCAGTTACCTTTGCTGATATTCTCCAGATGTGTGTTTTCATTTAATTTGTAAAGTAACTTTTTTCTTCTTTTAGGATCTCATTTTACCCAACGGTGGTACTCCAGCAGGCACTTCCAGTCCAGCTTCTTCATCTTCCCTTCTCAACAGACTTCAGCTTGATGATGACATTGATGGTGAGACCAGAGATCTCTTTGTCACAGTTGATGATCCCAAGAAGCATGTTTGTACAATGGAGACCTACATCACATATAGGATCACCACCAAAGTAGGTCCCTTGGTTATAGAATGCCCGTGTTGAGTGGGTCTTGGGGAATTGGGGTCGCCCTGTCTCCACAACTTGTGCCTTTGCTCTCCCTTCCTCTGTACAGTTGTGTTTACCTTAATTACATTTGTGGGTGTGGCTTTTTGAGAGGCTGGATGTACTCAAATTAAAAGGATTATGTATAATCTTAGAACAGAGGAGAAATTGTGACTAAGATCTTGCAAATAAACATTTAATCCCTATGTTTGCATTCATTTTCTATCATGATACTATATAACATGTTAATATCATCATATTACTCTCTTTTTTTTTTTTTTGAGTTGGAGTCTCACTCCTTCGCCCAGTCTGGAGTGCAGTGGCACTCCACAGCCACCCCAGCATCGACCTGCTGGCTCCAGCGATCCTTCCGCTTCAGCCTTCCGAGTAGCAGGAACTACAGATGTGTACTACCATGCCTGGCTATTTTTTATTTTATTGCAGAGACAAGGTCTCACAAAGTTGCCTGGGCTGATTTTAAACCCGTGGGCTCAGGCAATCCACTCGCCTTGGCCTCCGAAAGTGCCGGGATTGCAGGCCGAACCACTGACCCCGACCTCACATTACTCTTGAAATTGATGAATCACTGTACCAACCTAAATCACTGAAGAGACCATGATTAAAATGTGGCTTAATTGGGAGTTGGTGGTTGGGCGTGGGGAGGGAGGAATAACAAGAGGATAGGAACTAATACTTATTGATTTTTCTGCTATGTGCCAGACAGGTAGTGGGCAGGGTTTGAGAATTAATTGATAAATTGTCACAACAATCCTAAAAGTTGTATCTTTTAGTTATAATTTTACAGATGAGGAAATAGAAGCAGAAAGTTTAAGAGTTTGTTGAAAGGTACAAAGTTGATAACCAGGATTCTAACTTGAATTTGTCGAACTAGACAGCCCATATTTTAATTTTTAAACTCATATGTAATTTCACTTATAAAAGAATAATTTTAATGTATTGTTTTGAAAATTATTTTTTGAATTTTTAAAATAGTATTCAAATTTTAGGCTTGGAACAGAGTTACTCAGTCTTGGCAGTGCTAACATCCTGTATTGAATAGTTTTTTGTTGTGAGGGAACTGTCCTGTTATGGGATGTATATCAGCACCCCTGGCCTCTACCCCGTTACATTAGATGACAGTAGTACCCTTCCCTATTCCTCAGTTTTATAACTGTCTCCAGATATTGTCAAATATTTCCTGGGGAACAAAATTGCCACCCCAGTTGAAAACCACTTATTTAGAGAAAGAAGAATAATATTTATATTACTAGGGAGAAAAATCCACGTTGTCACTTTATGTTTTTGAGTAAAAAGTGTTTTAGTCAGGAAGCCACTCTATTTCTTGGTATTCCCCCAGCCCTTTACCCCAAGTCACATGATGAAAGACTTACAGATATTTTCAGAAGTTTTTAAAGATGAAGCTGTGGCCGGGTGCGGTGGCTCACGCCTATAATCCCAGCACTTTGGGAGGAAGAGGTGAGAGGATTGCCTGAGCCACGGATTCGAGAGCAGCCTAGGCAACCTGGTGAGACCTCATCTCTACAATAAATAAAAAATTAGCTGAGTGTGGTGGCACGTGCCTGTAGTTCCAGCTACTTGGAAGGTTGAGGCAGAAGGTTCACCTAAGCCCAGCAGGTCAAGGCTGCGGTGGTTGTGAGCTGCACTCTAGCCTAGGCGACAGAATGAGACTCCAACTCAAAAAAAAAAAAAAAAAAAAAAAAAATGAAGCTGCCTTTATTGAAGTGTTAAGAGGAGCTCTGGTGAGCATGTGTTTCTTATTTTACTGTGCCTTTTCTCTTTTTCATTGTAGAAAAGGTTTATTTTTCTTTGTGAAAGTTTAGTAGGTTCTGCACCTGTTTAAATTTTTTGGGAAGAAAAGCAGAAGACCCTGATGTAGTGACTCATGCCTGTCATCCTCGCATGTAGGGAGGCTGAGATAGGAGGATTGCTTGAACCTAGGAGTTCGAGACAAGCCTAGGCAACATAGAAAGACCTTGTCTCAAAAAAAAAAAAATGTCAGCTGAGCGCGATGTTTCTCACCTATAATCCCAGCACTTTGGGAGGCCAAGGCAAGAGGATTATTTGAGCCCAGGAATTTAAGACCAGTCTGGGCAACATGGTGAGACTTTGTCTCTACAATACATCAGAAAAATTAAATGGGCATGGTGACATGCGCCTATAGTCCCAGCTACTTAGGAGGCTGAGGTGGAAGGATCACCTGAGCCCAGAGGTTGAGGCTGCAGTAGCTATGATCATGCCACTGCACTCCAGTCTGGGCGACAGAGTGAGACTCCAACTCAAAAGAAAAAAATATTAGCCGGTTTTGGTGGCATGTGCCTGTAGTCTTAGCTACTCAGAAGGCTAAGGTGGGAGGATTGCCTGAACCCAGGTCAGTGCTGCAGTGCCCCATGGTCATGCTACTCACTCCAGCCTGGGTGACAGAGTGAGATCCCAACTCAACAAAAAGAAAAATAGAGAATAAAATACACTTAGATTTTGTTTCTTCATCTTTTATTGGATGAAAATGTTATATTTTAAAATTATGCAAGTAATAGAAATACATTATTATAAAAAGTTCACAATCCTAAAGACCAGATATGGTGAAGAAACAGGGAGTCTTTCTTAGCCCTTCTCACTTAGATTGTTCTTCTTGCCAAAGCAACCATTGCTGAAATTTGGTGTGTGTACTTTTAATCCCTTTTGTTGCATTCACATTCACATACGTATATAGTTAGAATATTTCTAATTTAGATTTCAATGTACTGTTGCTTTCCAGCTTTCCTTTCCATTTTATGGTATTTTTGAAGACCTTTCCATGTTCATACGACTCTGTCTAGCTTACTCTTTCAATTTCTGCCTAATTATTTATGCAATGATTGTATCTTTTCTCTGTGAACATTTAACCCTTTTTAAATTTTTTGATATTACTACCCTGTCCTTTCTGCACCTAGTTCACATTTGAAGATTTATCTCTACATGTATGCTTATGTACATGTACACAGACAGTCTTCCCCCATTAAACCACCACTGGGCGCCTACTATTTCCTAGACATTGGGCCAGGTGCTTAGATGTATATTATTCCCTCAGAAGGTCTGGGTTAATAAACAGGCTGGGCACAGTGGTTCACGCCCGTAATCCCAGCATTTTGGGAGAGTGGGGCAGGAGGATCACTTGAGGCCAGGAGTTCGAAACCGGCCTGGACAACATAGTGAGACTTTGTCTCTACAAAAATTCAAAAAATTCAAAAAAAAATCGCATCTTTAGTCCCAGCTACTTGGGAGTTGAGGTGGAGTGATCACCCTCCTGGGCCCAGAACGTTGATACTATGGTGAACTGTGATTGTGCCACTCCACTCCAGCCTCGGCAACAGACACTGACTCAAAGAAAAAAAAAAGTTGTCTTAGGTTAATATACATATTTCCAGGAGTTATATTCATTGACTTATGTTTTCCTAGGGTGAACTTATTTTTTACCCTGTAGTCCCTGAAATGCAAAATCTATTTTTCTTGAATTGGTGCTGTAAACAGCCAAATGACAAGGTGACTTCCTTGCTGGCACAGCATTACTTGCCTGTTCTGACATTTTCCCACTGCTACTTGATTCTTCTACCCCAAAATGCAAATACTGTGGGACTTCTGTTAACTGATTCATAGGGTAATGCACATGCTGCAATTCACCAGTCTTTCCTACACTTCTTTTCTTTCCTTCCCTACCCTTGCCCTCCCCCCCATATTCTTGTTTCCATCTCTTCCCCTGGGCTTAATTATTTCTTATAAGTCAGTAAATACCTTAGAGTAACATTTTTCAGGTTCCAGTCCCACATTTTCACTTGGCTGTTATACCAGCACTTCAAGATAGTCTTGTTGTAGAACTAAGTTCTCTTCCACTTCTGATGCCAAACTAGAGTTGTCATCTTTTCCTGTATCTAATAGTGACAGTAGGTTTGGTACCTCGGTGGTGCATTTGCAGCCTTCTTCCTGACAGCTGTGTCAAAGAGTTGTGCGGGGATGAGGAAAAGAGAACAAACAGGAACACAGGAGCCCCACATCTGAACCTGTCCTGGGACTTCCACTTCTTCTGAGGTCCTCAAGCAAAGTTAACTGTCAGAGGATGAAATTATTTGAATGCTTTGCTTTATTATTACTTTGAGGCTTTGACTCCCCAGTCTTAATTCAGATTTCTGATGGCCAAAGCTAGACACAGCACAGAGCTCTTTTTGTTTAAGCTAAAATGAGCCTAGGGATGAGAGTCAATGTAGGGAAAGATTTATCCACCCCAATCTAAGTCATCCACATCTTCTCTCTCAGTGGTGGAGAGCCAGCGTAGGCCTTTTAGGGCAGCCAGCCTATGACTCTTTTCTTTGCAGGCTTCTAGAAAGTAACATCATCATAATGGCTCGTTATTCCATGTGCTGTACTTTTTTGCAATTGGAACCCTTTGGTTTTTATTCTATGTAAGTAATGTATGTTCATTGTGGAAAAAATGGAAATGCAAGTAACTAAAACAATAAAAAAGATTCCTATAAGCTCACTAACCAGAAATAGTCATTGATAACTTTCTGTACTACTTTTCTTCACCCAGTTACAAAAGTTAGTATTTTAACTGCTGCTAATTCACTTAATACATTTGTGAATACCTTTCTATGCTAGGAAATGCCAGTATCACACTTTTATGCTATTATTTATGACTGTAATATTGTTCCATTGTACAGATGTGCTGTCATTTACTTTGTGCTACATGCTTTAAGTTTATTATTAATCTTCATACTCAGTGTAGATATTGGTACTGTTCTTATCTTACAAATGGGGAAATGAAGACACAGGGACATTTTAAAATATTGCTCAAATACATGCAACTAATGAGTGGTGGAGCAAGGACTTGAGTCCAGGTCTGTCTGATTGCAGAGTTAATAATAATTATTATTAATAATGTGCTAGACTTCCAAAAGATGTGATTTCCAAGGGAG